TATAATATAATTATATTCTAAACATAGAGATTCTAACATTTGTTACATGTTACAAAAATATTAGAAAATAAAAATGATGCAAAAATTATTTTTTCTGTTGTTACTGTATAGCAAATTGATAAAAAGTATGTACCAAAATTGTTTTAAATGAATTTCTTAGGGACAGTAAATGAATTCATTACATGTACTAAAGAATGATCAATGTATTCATAATGAACTTTAAATGAATTCTTTTTAATGGTCTTTCAGCAGCTCTCCCCACAAAAGTAATGAAAAGTTTTTTTAAAAGAATTCTTTAAGAATTCTTTTCGAACTCAAGATACATGACATAACCTGATGAAATTATGAATTCATTAAGAATTCATTTAGCTCATATCATGACAACCTGTAGAATTCATTAAAATATTCTGAATTCAAAATGAATTCATTTAGAATAAATAATGCCTGCTGGGGTAGCCATTAAGGCTTAAATTTTCCTTTTCATAATAATTATGGAGTATTTCAGAAATTAACCTACTTAGGATAGCCAAGCATTTACTTCACTTTTGATCAAATTGGAAGCTCTTGAGAAATTAGTTAAATCTGTCTGAATACTTAATAAATTATTTAAGAACTGTTGTTGTTATCTTTGAGTATTAAAGATTGTCCAATTCTAAACAAATTAGCAGTTTAGAGCTTGAAATTAATGGAGAATGAATTTTTTAGTTACAAACGATTACGTATCTAAACACTGCTCAACAGCGTGGTAAAATGCATTGAAAATTGGATACAATACATACTATAAAATATACTGCTTATAATCAATGTATAATAAAAAATATTGCTTATAGGGCAATCTGGAGGGCGATAATAATAGGTCAATTTCTGTCGCTCGTTCTCTGCTTGATGACGCTGCTGAACCACTTCATCAATTCTACATACAAAATAAACTTACCTACAGGTAAGGTTCAGTATCTTATATACAATCATCTTTGTAGAATTTAATTAGTGAGTGGTTTTACATGGTCCTGAATGAGTTGTAAATTGTTTTCCTAATGGTAATTAATATCAGTACTTAAATATTGAGCTATAAATCTTTTTATTGTCCTCAGTGATGTTATTGTAAGAAACTATACAAGCACTAGAAATAAAATGATCGATTAATCATTAAGTTATACCATAAGCACACAAATATTTGTGTGTTAACGTAAATTTTTGCTATGCGTGGTGGACTGAAAACTTGTTAAAACAAATTAATGCTCATATGATGGGATTTATAAAATTTGATTGACAAATTTATATAAATTCATTGAGATATTGTCATAGTTTAAGTTTAAGTCAGCCAAAAACACATATCTTGACAGTTTAAAATTAAAATATTTCAAAAACCAAGTGATACTGTTGTCAAACTTAAATTCAGTACGAAAAACTATTGCAGATGCAGGAAAACGTGATGATTTTTTTATTGCTAAACTCATATAACTTTCAATATATTTAAGTTATTTTAAGTGCCTTTAAATATTTTAATAGTATAATAAGTTACGAGGCCTTAAAGGTGATGGGTATGTACGGCCACGTGTAGTATGTGGCTATACACTGCAGTACGCTTTCGTTCACAGCTACCTTACTGCCGAGTAACGTGTATACGATTTTTTCGTCATTCCTTGCAAGAAAGATTGTTTTACGTTGTAGTTAATAAAAATTGTATATAAGATACAATTTTATAAATGAAGGCAAAATATTTAATCTGTATTGTATGAGGTTACTATGATCTTGTAACAGTCATTCAGTTACACGAAAAGTTCAGTTACGTACGAGTTTAATTACATCTAGTGACAAAATATTTGATCTGTATAGGTAAATGATCGTACTGTAAGACAGGTTCAAGCGCACTATTTTATCGAAAAAGTCATTTAAAAATGAATACGGCATTATAACGTTAAAGTTTTTGTGTTATAATTTTAAATTTGGTGTTCTAGCAAAAAAAAATTTATTTTAGTTTACAAATAAGATCAAGAAAGTTGTTGTATTAGAAATAATGAAGTAAAAATATGAGGTCCCGATTAATGGCACATAGCATGGCCCAGTTGTCTTTCTTAGTTTCTGGGGCGAACGAAACTAATAATATAAATAAATATTCTTCCACACTGAGANTGTAATATATATAAATATGCACAAAGAAATTAATTATATAATAATATTCAAAAGTAAAATATGGAATAATTTTTTATTAATCCTAAATTGTAAAAAGTAAGCATAAAAAAAAAGTAGAAATAGAGCTTACACACACACACACATCACACATATTTGTTCATAACATTCATATTAGCATTTAAATAATTAAACAATACTATGTAGTAAAGTAAACTTTTAGTTTTGGAAAACAATACAGAGAGAACAAACTCTTTTTATCTTATTATAACTAGTTTTCTTGTTTAATTTTTTTTTATATCTTTAATTTGTTCTTCTAGTCTTGTTTTAGCTTTCTTATTTTTCCTTTTATAATTGTTTTTTTGAAACTTTTTTTCTCCTTTTTTCTGTTGCGCTTCCTCATTTTTCAACTGCTGCTTCTAACATTCGTTGGAACAGACAATATAAGGAAGTTTAGACTTTCCTGAAGCTTCAACCTACATTCTTTTGCTTTTATGTTATTACTTAAGTAGTTGGAAGCGTGAATCATGCGTGAAGCACGACAAGCTGTTTAAAACATTTTATTAATATAAAACTTAATTCAAAATGCCTTGAGAAAGATTTAAAATGATTAAACTTACTTTGACATTAAATTCACTTGAATTTATAATCCCTCTATGAGCTGAGCCCAGTTCTACTGATTTAATGTGCTCTTTTTTAGTTCTATAACTAATAATATAAGTTAATAATTCAGAGTTTAACACTGCATTATTTGATGATTTACAAACATCACATGGGACAAATATAATGGGTAAATCATCTGCTTCTTCAAAAACAACATTGTCTGACAGCGCAATACTTGATTCTTTTAATGTTTAATCACTGTTTGAATACATAATAGGCACATCTATAAAATCCTCGAATATAAAATCGTTCTTTAAGCAAACTGCAGGCAAATCTTTCAAATTATAGATTGCTTAATCAATTTTTAAAAAGACCAACGGCTCATTACGTAGAACTTATATGAATTTTTTCAATATTTGTTATAGGTCATTTTTAAAAGAATTATATAAATGAAAATCATGTAATAAACATAGGCTCTTGTGGGAAGTAACCTCTTTGTCTCGCAAAAATAGACAAAAGTTTTTGAAAAATGCAAAGGTAGTATTTTTATAATATCTACCTGAGAGTTAATTAGTGTTTAGTTATTCGGTGAGCAAAATTTAGAGGCATGTTATAGTGCATTTTAAACAATACAAACGTTAAACGTAAGGAAAATATTGAGTTTGTGGTGTGCAAGAAGGGGTGCGCGGTGAAGGGGGCCAAGCTGCGTGGGCAGAGGGGACTCCCCCTTCCACGTCCCTTTGAATGATACTCCCGAATCTCCTTAATTCTGTAGGTTCCGGCCCATTATTAAAATAGACTGCAGATTTCTTATTCAGTTTTTTGAATGTTACATTCTTCTTCAAACTAAATGTATCAACATCCTTTTGTTGATTAGCATCGCAAGATTTAACAGGAATTACTTTGCCTTGTTTAACTATCTTCAGATCAATGTTAACTTTTTTATAACTCTTCATTCAAATATTCCCACCCTCACATTCAAGAATAAAAATTATGAAACAGAAAAAATACATGTCATAAAATAAAAGCCATGAGAAAGTTATAATACTTTCTTTTTAATAGATGTAAATTTTTAACTAAATAAATCAATAATATAAATTTAATTGTACGTAATTGAACCATCCGATTGGCAAAGTCTTTTCAAAGAATACCAAGAGCTGCTTATTATCCACTATCGATGTATTTTTAATGCTCTAAATGTATTTTCATAGTTTGTGTGTTGTCCATTTGATTGAGCATGTATTTTAGAACCAACGGAAAATCTTCTCTTGTAACTTAATGAAGCATTTTTCTCTTGTGGCACAGATCTTTTCCTTACTACTTGAAACAAGTTGACGAATCCAATATCCATTGGCTGATAAGTGTGTGTTGCTTAGGGTAAAGTGCAATTATTTCTATATTTTTCTCCCGAAAAAATTAACAATTAGCGGATTAACGTAAGATGAATGAATATTATCAAAATAAATTATTATTAAGGACTTTACTCCTACAACTACGAGCCAAGTATAAAATACGTTAGTAAAATATTCATAAAATTATTCAGTTGTAATTCATCCTCTGACAGAGATGCCAACACCCCTGTCACTCTCAGTATATTGAACAATTTCTTTGGAGACTTTATCATTGTATTATTGTAAGGAAAAATCATTAGAAGACGGGCTTTAAGCTCTAACACTTGCAGAACTATACATAATCATAACTGTGAAACATTTTTTACTAGCATCAGTTATTGTATTGGTTACGGAAGATCCTTTTTCTATAAATACTCTGTCTGAATCTGGGCACAGTTAAACACTTGTTTTGTCACAATTGAAAACTCGTTCAGCAGAAATATTGAGTAAGCCTTTGCTTTTTGAATAATTTTCCTGTTCATTAACCATTGTTTTAAATCCTTTGATGTAACGGTAGCTTTAGCTAAGCTCAACGGCTGAACTTTACTTAGAGACAAATTCTGATGGCGTTTTGTAAACGCCTCGCATCAGTTTCTACTTATAACATGTAAAATAGAAAAAAAAGAAAAAAAAACAAAAAAAACAAACGAATATTAAAAAAAAAAATTCCTCTGAACGATTTTCTATGAATGGAGTTTTTCTGTTTAGTTCGACAGTATAATTTTGGACTTAATCAAGAAGTTAAGTTTCTGTGACTGGGTATCATTTTTCAAATCTGTATCAAATCCAGTTGAGGATTTCCTTTTCTTCTTGCTTTTTCAATACAGTTTCTGGCTCACGTCTGTGAATTTTCAGGTTCTTACATTTTTTCCTCTACATTTTTTTTTTTCAATTTTTTAGCTCTGACACAACCTTTTACTGTTAATCTCTCGTTTTCCATTTTTATACATAAAACTTTCTTTACACTATTAAAGCCTACTTTTTTCACTTGTTCGCTATCTGTCTTTTTTCTTTTCTCTTTTTTTTCATTGTTTTTCTTATGTTATCTCAAATCAATAAATATTTTTAAAAAGCTAGGTAATGGAAAAAAAATTATTTCACTTTCCAGGCCAAATGCATGAATTAAAAGAGTACGTAAATACGGTATATGTAATTCACTGTTCCATTAACCAGAACTTTCAAATTTTTATGTACACTCGAAGTATCTTATACCTGTCGGAATGATGAAAAATATTACCTGTTAAGGACGTTCGGTAGTGTTAGCGGGGGGAAACATTTGCGCGGTGAGGGGAAACCAGCGATGAATGAAGATTTGGCAACGTCGTACGGGTCTTAAATGTGTGAGTGTTCATGTACACGCATCAGGTGTCTCTGCACACTCTACACTGTCTGCTCGTCTGCTGCGTGCTGCGTCGGTTACGACAGCGTTCGTGTATCAATGTTCGTGTATCATAATGCAATAGTTGATATTGATTTATTAGAAAAATTAACCGCTACATATCTTCCATGGGATGATATTTCAACGAACGTGTCTTCCGTAAAAGATGTTCTTGCGAAAATTCAAAGAATTTCTGATAAAAAAATGTATTCGCCAACTTTTTCCCCCATGTCGTCTATCATTCCCAAAACAGTGATTAAAAATCTAAGTCAAAATAAATTAGATTTTAATATTATTGTTGATAAATTTATGGAAGGTAATGATGGTTTAAGATCGTTTCTAATAAATGGGCAAAGCCCTTTAATCAAAAGAGCTACCAGTGTAAATACTTGAATACTTGAATTTTTAAATGACTTGACAAGTCTCATACAGCATGGG